TTCTCAAATAGAAGAAGCCAGGTCAGAGACTCAAAAAAAATAAATTAAGGGCAGCTTTCAGGTTGTTATTGTGCTTTATCTTCTAACAGTGTTATGATAATGTGTTTGACATAATTAATAAATAATAATTTATTGCTTCCTGGTGTTACACTGTTTAGTATATTGTTCTTGCAGTGCTTTTTTAGGGATAGAATATTAGTTTAGGGAAGAAGAAGCTGTCTTTTTTCATTAACGCCTCATAGTTAATAAAAAACCATTAATTAAATTGTATGAGTGAAAGTTGTTTAAATCCTCTATTCAATTATTGTATTTACTTTTTGAAAATTTAATTTTGGTCGTAGAAAAAGAATAAATAGAGAGGACTAATGTAGATATAACAAATTAAATAAATAATTAGAAAAAATATGAGTATTTCATTTTTAATAATAAGTTTGTGTGACTTTTGGCCTTTCGTATTTTATATTTGAGGGTGCAATCAAATCTTTTTCCATTTTAAATAGTTTTTGTACTAACGTAAGTATGTATGTGTGCACATTAGTTTAGGATTGGGATGAACAGTATTAATTTATTTGTATAGATTATAATTTGTAGATACACTTATCAAGCTCTTGAGGAAAAGAGGAAAGCCACAAGGGAAAAATTGGCCAGGAAAGAAAGAAAGAAGGAGAAGAAAAGGAAGAAGTTGTTGAGAGAAGCTCGATCGTTGTCTCGTGATTGTGAAGTAATCTTTTTTTAGGTATTTAAATAAAACAGTGTGTCTATAATCATATGTATGTGTAGGGCTTTAATATGGCTGAAACAGAAGCTGTAAATGGTACAGAAGGTCAATTACCTTCAGAAGATGCCATGCAGTTTGAAGCAGAAGAACGAAGAGCTGAAGAAGAGAGAAAAAGGGCCCGGGAACCCCCTATAGTTTTCAAGGGAATTATTGATGTAAATACAACCAAACATAAATTAATATAATAATTGTAATATGTTCCTTTTTTAACTTTCAGGTGAATCAAGAATTCGACAAATTATCCCAACTCCTTGATGGCAAGCTCAACGATGACGAGCGAAGATCTCTATCAGAATTAGAGCAATATATGTTGGGGAATGAGGGAAGTTGGATTGTTGGAGATGGATTTCTCGAATTCATTGGTAAAAAAAACTTATTAAACAGTCTTTTTACCTGAATTGATTTTTTTGTTAATTATTAGGCAGACTTTTAAACGACAAGGCCCTCGACAAAGAAATAAAAGTTCACATTTTGAACATTTTATCCGAAGCAGCCCTTAAAGACGATGTTATCCTGGTTTTGCATCAGGATCGTAAAGACCACGTCCTTATGAATTACGCCTTTGAAATAGACAGGCTCAGCGTTGAAGAGCAACAAGCTATAGCCTTATTTGTAAGTATTCTCATACAAAAAGTATTAATATAAGAAATGGCAGTAAAACACTATAGATGGCGATGTACTGTCAATTAGTTGATAATAATTTAAAAAACACCAAGTGGTGGGATTTAGCTTTCTAAGTCATAGCTAACTCCCACAGTTCAAAAAGAAAACGGGACTTAAGAGAAGAGTTAATGTTGTTTATTACAAAAAAATGCTATTTTTTTTCTTTATTTACAACTAGATTGCCAATATGTTTGAGAATCTCAGTTCATCAGAGTGGTTGTTGTACATCTCTGAATGGACGTACAACAACCAGCCCACAAGCAACATAAGGGTGACCACAAAAGTTGGGGTTCATTCGTTATTATCTGACTTGCCCGATTTACAAGATAAAGGGACCGCCATCGTATACAACATGGCTTGTAAGGAGGTAAAAACTGTGGTCTGTATCAATCTACTAATTTATTACTTTAATACATATATTGTAGTTTTTTATAAAGAGTTTACTGAGTGTTCTAGAATGGCTTTTTTCTGCTTATTTGATCTCAGTTTTTATAACATTTAATTTCATTAAATCTACTTGCACATGCCCACCAAAAATGGCACAGGGACCAAGTAAAAAGAATTGTAATAACACAATTACAAAGCACTTCATCGTCATATATTCATGAATTTCAATTAAAAATTCTGTAAAAATTAACATTAACTATTTTGCTGTTCATTCATTTGACATTCCTTTTTGTCAATGTTTATATTCAAAAAATGGTAACAAATATATCAAAGCATCATTAACATTGAATGGTATTAGCTAAAATTTTGATTCAAAATCTAATAACTAACTGAATTATTTTGTGCTGGCATTTTTCTTTTTTTTCCCTTACAAATGCGTTAACTAATTGAATTTTTGAAAGGTATTGTATACTTTAGACCACTTGTATGCTTCCAGAAAATGTTCAAAAACTTTCGGATACGACAACTTTTACCTCGAGGCACTTTGTCAAAGGTAGTTTTGTGTCCTTATCGTAAAACTACTTTAACAATAACATATGTACATAAATAATTTACCTACCATTATGCCCATTTTAATTAGACGACCTTTCTTTTGTCTAATTCGCTTTGCCATTAATTAAATTTCATTTTTAACATCCATTCTGTTTTAGTTATGATAGCAAACTACAAAAACTTTTGTCATTGTGCTTTGCCAAAATTTCACTATCACTATCACTATCAGTACCATATACAACTGTTGCTAATGTCTTAGACATAATTGCAACAATTTTTCCCAAGAAGTAGCTCAATTTTTGTGTGCGGCAAATATTCCAAAGCACATTTTGGACCTTCCAAATGAAGTTTTGGAGGCAAAGCTCCATCCAGCGTTGGCAGCATTAGCAAGTCAATTAGAAAGGGGCGCAAGGCCAGTTGAGGAGGAGCACCAGAGAGGACTCAGTCCAGAATTTTCTCAACTTAATTCTCAAATAGAAGAAGCCAGGTCAGAGACTCAAAAAAAATAAATTAAGGGCAGCTTTCAGGTTGTTATTGTGCTTTATCTTCTAACAGTGTTATGATAATGTGTTTGACATAATTAATAAATAATAATTTATTGCTTCCTGGTGTTACACTGTTTAGTATATTGTTCTTGCAGTGCTTTTTTAGGGATAGAATATTAGTTTAGGGAAGAAGAAGCTGTCTTTTTTCATTAACGCCTCATAGTTAATAAAAAACCATTAATTAAATTGTATGAGTGAAAGTTGTTTAAATCCTCTATTCAATTATTGTATTTACTTTTTGAAAATTTAATTTTGGTCGTAGAAAAAGAATAAATAGAGAGGACTAATGTAGATATAACAAATTAAATAAATAATTAGAAAAAATATGAGTATTTCATTTTTAATAATAAGTTTGTGTGACTTTTGGCCTTTCGTATTTTATATTTGAGGGTGCAATCAAATCTTTTTCCATTTTAAATAGTTTTTGTACTAACGTAAGTATGTATGTGTGCACATTAGTTTAGGATTGGGATGAACAGTATTAATTTATTTGTATAGATTATAATTTGTAGATACACTTATCAAGCTCTTGAGGAAAAGAGGAAAGCCACAAGGGAAAAATTGGCCAGGAAAGAAAGAAAGAAGGAGAAGAAAAGGAAGAAGTTGTTGAGAGAAGCTCGATCGTTGTCTCGTGATTGTGAAGTAATCTTTTTTTAGGTATTTAAATAAAACAGTGTGTCTATAATCATATGTATGTGTAGGGCTTTAATATGGCTGAAACAGAAGCTGTAAATGGTACAGAAGGTCAATTACCTTCAGAAGATGCCATGCAGTTTGAAGCAGAAGAACGAAGAGCTGAAGAAGAGAGAAAAAGGGCCCGGGAACCCCCTATAGTTTTCAAGGGAATTATTGATGTAAATACAACCAAACATAAATTAATATAATAATTGTAATATGTTCCTTTTTTAACTTTCAGGTGAATCAAGAATTCGACAAATTATCCCAACTCCTTGATGGCAAGCTCAACGATGACGAGCGAAGATCTCTATCAGAATTAGAGCAATATATGTTGGGGAATGAGGGAAGTTGGATTGTTGGAGATGGATTTCTCGAATTCATTGGTAAAAAAAACTTATTAAACAGTCTTTTTACCTGAATTGATTTTTTTGTTAATTATTAGGCAGACTTTTAAACGACAAGGCCCTCGACAAAGAAATAAAAGTTCACATTTTGAACATTTTATCCGAAGCAGCCCTTAAAGACGATGTTATCCTGGTTTTGCATCAGGATCGTAAAGACCACGTCCTTATGAATTACGCCTTTGAAATAGACAGGCTCAGCGTTGAAGAGCAACAAGCTATAGCCTTATNCAGGTTTATTTGTTTGTATAGTTGTTTGTGTAGGTACGTACACAATTCATACGTGAACGAAATCGCGCCTGGAATACAATATTACGTTTTTTTTCTTTACAAAAGGTTTTTGACTTTAACGGAAAGTAATAACGATATTGCCCGAGGACAATTCCTTTGAATAAGGAAAATTTCACCGAAGCGGTGAAAAAGAAAACACACTCGTGTTGTTTAGCAAATACGTGCCATCTCTTCAACAAAAATGCGGATCTCATTGTAACACAAGGGACGTATGATTAGGTTAACAGAGGGAATAATAAGAAGCTACTATTCAACTTTTTTTTTTTGCTTCTATACAAGAGATGAAAGCTTCAAAGAAATTCAAGGTTTAATTTTGTCAAATGGTGGAGGAATAAGCCCAAAACGAGTTTGTAGTTTAATCATCATCATCATCATAAGGTCGTCAGTCCTAAGACTGGTTGGACCAGAACCTCCACTCTTTCCTACCCTGAACAAATCTTCGCATATCTGTACCTTTCCTAATAACCATTTTGCATATCTCTAATAATACTTAGAAACACGAAAAAAGAACAATGGTCAATCGATGTAATTGAAAAACTAATATCTACAGTAATGAGAAGCATACAATTAATAAAAAGCAGAGACTCAGTTATTATTCTAATAGGTTCAAACATTGATATATTCAACATCAAACGAGTTCTGAAGATGTCCCGTGTGGTCGCGAGACCGAAACGTCAGATGTCATGAACTTCACAGTTAACAAAATCGACGGAATACTTTCTAAAAGATATTTAAAGACAAATTGGATCACATATTTTATTAAGTTTCACATTGTATGTTTCTCATTACTGTAGATATTAGTTTTTCAATTGCTTTTCCTTTCACTATCCTTAAAGATGTGCAAAATGGTTATTTAAATACTTTTTTGATTTGTTATTTCAAATGTAAAGTACAAAATAGATTTCCCTTTTGTATTTTAAATGCTAAATGCAAAATACGAATTTTCAAAATACTTTTTTCAAAGTGTACTACCAATTTAATTTTCTACATTTCCTTAAGCGTAAAATATTTTTTAAGAAAACCTTGCAGGCATTTGCTCATTTTTTAAATATTAGAGTTTTTCTAGACTAATACCGGTGTTTGCGTTATATTATCAGCTGCGAAAATTGAGTATGAAGTGATTGAGATATAGTTTTTCTATGTTTATGTTATAGTTTCTTCAGTTCAGCAACAAGCAATTCTTCTATATGCTTGCTTATTTCCCTTTGTCACCCGTTTTAATTGGAGAAAAAACACTGATGCGAAAATAGTGTGTTTACCGTGAAAGATTAGAGTCAAAATAGGGTTGCATATAATTTTATTGATGTAAAATCAACATCAATCTTTTTTTTATCAAAANTTAGGATTGGGATGAACAGTATTAATTTATTTGTATAGATTATAATTTGTAGATACACTTATCAAGCTCTTGAGGAAAAGAGGAAAGCCACAAGGGAAAAATTGGCCAGGAAAGAAAGAAAGAAGGAGAAGAAAAGGAAGAAGTTGTTGAGAGAAGCTCGATCGTTGTCTCGTGATTGTGAAGTAATCTTTTTTTAGGTATTTAAATAAAACAGTGTGTCTATAATCATATGTATGTGTAGGGCTTTAATATGGCTGAAACAGAAGCTGTAAATGGTACAGAAGGTCAATTACCTTCAGAAGATGCCATGCAGTTTGAAGCAGAAGAACGAAGAGCTGAAGAAGAGAGAAAAAGGGCCCGGGAACCCCCTATAGTTTTCAAGGGAATTATTGATGTAAATACAACCAAACATAAATTAATATAATAATTGTAATATGTTCCTTTTTTAACTTTCAGGTGAATCAAGAATTCGACAAATTATCCCAACTCCTTGATGGCAAGCTCAACGATGACGAGCGAAGATCTCTATCAGAATTAGAGCAATATATGTTGGGGAATGAGGGAAGTTGGATTGTTGGAGATGGATTTCTCGAATTCATTGGTAAAAAAAACTTATTAAACAGTCTTTTTACCTGAATTGATTTTTTTGTTAATTATTAGGCAGACTTTTAAACGACAAGGCCCTCGACAAAGAAATAAAAGTTCACATTTTGAACATTTTATCCGAAGCAGCCCTTAAAGACGATGTTATCCTGGTTTTGCATCAGGATCGTAAAGACCACGTCCTTATGAATTACGCCTTTGAAATAGACAGGCTCAGCGTTGAAGAGCAACAAGCTATAGCCTTATTTGTAAGTATTCTCATACAAAAAGTATTAATATAAGAAATGGCAGTAAAACACTATAGATGGCGATGTACTGTCAATTAGTTGATAATAATTTAAAAAACACCAAGTGGTGGGATTTAGCTTTCTAAGTCATAGCTAACTCCCACAGTTCAAAAAGAAAACGGGACTTAAGAGAAGAGTTAATGTTGTTTATTACAAAAAAATGCTATTTTTTTTCTTTATTTACAACTAGATTGCCAATATGTTTGAGAATCTCAGTTCATCAGAGTGGTTGTTGTACATCTCTGAATGGACGTACAACAACCAGCCCACAAGCAACATAAGGGTGACCACAAAAGTTGGGGTTCATTCGTTATTATCTGACTTGCCCGATTTACAAGATAAAGGGACCGCCATCGTATACAACATGGCTTGTAAGGAGGTAAAAACTGTGGTCTGTATCAATCTACTAATTTATTACTTTAATACATATATTGTAGTTTTTTATAAAGAGTTTACTGAGTGTTCTAGAATGGCTTTTTTCTGCTTATTTGATCTCAGTTTTTATAACATTTAATTTCATTAAATCTACTTGCACATGCCCACCAAAAATGGCACAGGGACCAAGTAAAAAGAATTGTAATAACACAATTACAAAGCACTTCATCGTCATATATTCATGAATTTCAATTAAAAATTCTGTAAAAATTAACATTAACTATTTTGCTGTTCATTCATTTGACATTCCTTTTTGTCAATGTTTATATTCAAAAAATGGTAACAAATATATCAAAGCATCATTAACATTGAATGGTATTAGCTAAAATTTTGATTCAAAATCTAATAACTAACTGAATTATTTTGTGCTGGCATTTTTCTTTTTTTTCCCTTACAAATGCGTTAACTAATTGAATTTTTGAAAGGTATTGTATACTTTAGACCACTTGTATGCTTCCAGAAAATGTTCAAAAACTTTCGGATACGACAACTTTTACCTCGAGGCACTTTGTCAAAGGTAGTTTTGTGTCCTTATCGTAAAACTACTTTAACAATAACATATGTACATAAATAATTTACCTACCATTATGCCCATTTTAATTAGACGACCTTTCTTTTGTCTAATTCGCTTTGCCATTAATTAAATTTCATTTTTAACATCCATTCTGTTTTAGTTATGATAGCAAACTACAAAAACTTTTGTCATTGTGCTTTGCCAAAATTTCACTATCACTATCACTATCAGTACCATATACAACTGTTGCTAATGTCTTCTGTGCTTCAAATTGATGTTGTATTGTTTATTAATAAGGAAAATTTTTGGAAGCAATTTAGCATAATTTGGAATAATTCTACATATTTTTTTTATATAATTACTCCTACAGTTTAGGTACTGATATTGGGATGAGTGAATTTTTGTCTTTATTTTTAGGTGTTTGATGACGTTGCAGTGGAGTTGACGATGGCCCTTTTGCAATATTTTAACAATAAACCACCAGAAGAGCAGCTTTGGAGGTGTATGAAAGCTATGGGTAAATTTACTCAAATTTCGAACCAAGAAGTGCCCCAATTGATCCAGATGATAGGTCCTGATCCCAAAACGTTCAAGGGAGTAAGTTCAAGGGTGGATGAACAAATCGACGAAGTATGCAAGAAGTTGCGTTAAACAACTGGTGATGACTTTTTTTGTTCTTAGAAAATGGACTTAATGTATTTTTTGTTTTCGACTTTTTAAATTATTTTTTTGGTATTTAGATTTATGTAAGTACAAAATGGTGCTATTATACAATGTTTATACGTTTTTATTGTCGTAATTATTTATTTGTGCTATTAATCTGCCTATGAGAGATGTGAATTGTATGATATTTAATTAATAATTTCTTCTATCTGATTTTGGGGACTGTGGAGAAAAATTTGGTGACGTTTTGTACAGTTATGTGTATTGTAATTCATTGTTAATTGCAAAATAAATTATAATTGTGTTTTAATTCCTGGTTTTATTCAATATTATTTATCCTAAAGTGCCCTAAAGTATATGAATGAAATTAACATAAACTAATTTTTATATTAATTTGAATTGTTCCTAATAAATTAATTTAAATGAATAAGTAGTCCCCATTTAATTAGCACTGCTAATATTGTCCTCTGATGAGAATACCATCAACTAATTATGTATATATAACGAAGACTATGTATTATTTTTCAAAGTTTACCTGCTAAAACAACTTTTATTATAATGCTAAATTTTTTTATATTCATTGCTTATTCTTAAACCGTTTCAAGTTTTATTTTTAGTTTGTTTAATAATCTGTTACGATCTAAAAAGTATACGTATAATAAGTCCTTGATTAATGAGTAATTAATAAAGATGTCACTGAATGTACAAAAGTCTATAAATTTCTATTTAAAAAATTAAAATTTACACCTAGAAACGCTTCAATTTACATAGATTTAGTCATTGATTGTTAATTAAAAGAGTTTTGTGCAAAAAACAAACCGATTAATTAACCAATGACCAGAAAATAATTTCTAAAATACTTATACTGGACTCAAATGTTTCCATATATGGTTGAGTAATATCTGTTACATTAAAATACGCTTTTAGAAGACTTTCAAAGCAGTATAATTAATTATTAGCTTTAAAAATGATGAAATAAGTAGTGAAAATCGAAAATACGACTAATTACCACATAGATGGTGCTTGAAGCTCAAAATTTAAACTTTTAAAGGATTCATTATATTTCAAAGTTTACCTGCTAAAACAACTTTTATTACAATGCTAAATTTTTTTATATTCATCGCTTATTTTTAAACCGTTTAAAGTTTTGTTTTTAATTTGTTTATTAATCTGTTACGATCTAAAAAGTATACGTATAATAAGTCCTTGATTAATGAGTAATTAA